GGTTTGATCGATTTGAGCAACCATAAACGACGTAAAACATAGGCATTTTGAGTGTGTTAAAGTGCTTCCTAAATATAGAAATCACTTCCTGCCCTCCATTTGCGCTTCGCGCCATGGCAACGCAGTTGCGTGACGTCACGTGAAAACAAGCTATTGGTTGATGGGCGCTCTAAGGTGTGCAGGTATTTTCAGGGAAACGCATGGATAAAGTTACAGCGAGTATATAGTCCTATCTTTAATCAATAGAAAAATAAACTCAATATGTAAACTGTTCATTGTTTGTTCATGTCAGTTCACAGTGCTTTCACTAATGTTAACAAAAACAACCTCATGTATTAGTAAATGTTCAAACTAAGGTAGTGAACTAATGTTAACTAATGAACCGTACTGTAAAGTGTAACTGAAACATCAGAGACGAGATCGATCTCCTCGCGACCCTTCGTGTCACTGAACCGCACAGCCAAACTATTCCCCCGTTTTAAAAATTCATCTTACAAGGCCAAAATTAAGTGAAACGACCAAAAATAATAAAGATGCAAATTACAAATAACAGGGCAAATATATGAAGGTAGATTTCTCTTTATTATTCAATCAAAAAAAATATTTTCAATTAAAAAAAACCTTCACATCAATGAGAAAAAAAGTATTTGAATCCAAAAATATATTTGAGACTCAAAAAAATTGTTTGTGATTGAAAATGTTTTCTTTGATAGAAGTCTGTGTTTTTTTTTTTTTGTTTAAAGCAACCTTTTTAATTAAAGTAACATTAACTTTCTTTGTCAGAAAGATGTCGTTGGTGTAGACACTTGTCAATCAAACATGTCTGACCAACAGAGAAGCACCCGCCCACTGCGGAACGTTTGTGTCAAAATGATTCAATCAAAAAAAATATTTTCAATTAAAAAAACCTTCACTTCAATGAAAAAAAAAAATTTTCAATCAAAGAAAAAAAGTATTTGATTCCAAAAATATATTTGAGACTCAAAAAAATTGTTTGTGATTGAAAATGTTTTCTTTGATAGAAGTCTGTTTTTTTGTTTTGTTTAAAGCAACCTTTTTAATTAAAGTAACATTGGTTTTTGATTGGACCATATAATGGGTAGGACATTTGTGTCTTTATCATTCAATCAAAAAAGAAGTTGCTTCAAACAAACAAACAACAGAATCAATACAAAAGTCACTTCAATGAAAAGATAAACATTTTCAAATATAGAAAATCATTTTTGAATGCAAATAAAATATTTGAGACTCTAAAAATTGCATTTGAACACCTTTTGTTTTAATTGAAAATGTTCTCTTTGATTGGAGTAATCTTTTTTGTGTTTGGGCCATACATGGGTAGGACATTTGTGTCTTAATCATTCAATTCCAAAAAAGTTGTTTCAATCAAAAAAAAATATTTTCAATCAAAGAAAAAACTATTCAAAAGCAACAAAAAAAAATTATTTACCTCGTGAATAAAAAAAGTATTGAAGAGAATGTGTTTTTTCGTTGTTTTTGTTTTTTATTTGAAGTGAAAAAAAAATAGAAGTTCAAATTGTTTTGATTGAAAATTGTTTTTGTTTTTTTTTGAAGTGCAAAAAGTTTTGAAGTTCAAATTTTTTTAATTGAATCATTTTGACACAAACGTTCCGCAGTGGGCGGGTGCTTCTCTGTTGGTCAGACATGTTTGATTGACAAGTGTCTACACCAACGACATCTTTCTGACAAAGAAAGTTAATGTTACTTTAATTAAAAAGGTTGCTTTAAACAAAAAAAAACAAAAAAACACGGACTTCTATCAAAGAAAACATTTTCAATCAAAGAAAAGCAGTGTTCAAATGTATTTTTTTGAGTCTCAAATATATTTTTGGAATCAAATACTTTTTTTCTTTGATTGAAAAGGTTTTTTTTCATTGAAGTGAAGGTTTTTTTAATTGAAAATATTTGTTTTTTTGATTGAATAATAAAGACACAAATCTCCCTTAATTCAAATACAGCATCACTGGATCTGCACCATTCATAACTTAACAGAAAAGGCGGGTTTTCCATCCTTGGCTCTGATTGGCTAATGTACTGTAAGCACTATAGCTTTTCACGTCGTTTTCTTCATATGCAAAACAGTCATGTTTAACAAATGGTTTCACAATCGATGGGGTTTTCTGATTTTATACAGTACAAACGAAGACTTGAGCTCTGGCCAAAGAGAAACAATAAAACGCTTTTGGTTTGACCCGCGGCTCCACAGAGCTGCTATCAATGCCAATTCATTCAGCAGGTCGCCGCCATGTTTGATAAGCATGTTTGATAAGTGTGTGAGAGCCGCACCTGGTGAGCTTGATGGTGCTGTCGAAGGAGGCGGACAGGAGCAGGCTGTCCTGCTGTTGGCTGAAGGCCAGGCCTCGGATCTGCTTGCTGTGGATGGGGATGTACTGACTCGGCTTGAGCGTCGCGGCGCTGATCATCTTCACCCCGAAGCCTGAGGGACAGATAGTCAATCACAGCGACACGAGCCCTGCAGAACTGACTCCGTGTGTGTGTGTGTGTGGACTCACCGGGCAGCAGCGTGGCGTGTGTGGAGGGCTGGGACGCCAGCAGACACCCGAGGGGCTCGCAGTAGGACATCACGCGACTGCTCCCGCTCTGAGACACCAGCAGAGCCTTGGAGAACACGTAATGCCCCGCGCCGGACGCGTCCTGCCTCTGGGACGAGGAGAGGAACGAGCCCTGGGACGAGCCCAGCGACACCTGCGCTTTCCACCGCCTCAACTCCTGCGCAGAACACACACACACACACACATCACGACTCGGATGATGAACATCATAACCGGAGCCTCTCGTTTGACAGCAATATCGGCCACCCAAATGTATCCAGGTCATTACAGGTGTAAGTTAATAAGGACCAAAATTGGGTTTTTGGACCCCATTGACTTTCATTGGTAAAATATGATTCTCCCATTCTTCATTCTGCTTTCTAGAAACTGGTTCGACATCATGAGACTAATGAATTTCCTTCTATTAAAGCGCTAATTCTAACAGGAACACGATGATCCCCACTGACCAGTGGTGGAGGAAGTACTGAATCTCAGTACTTAAGTAAAAGTACAAATACCCAGATAAATATTTACTTTAGTAAAAGTAGAAGTAACACAATGACAACCATACTTAAGTAAAAAGTAAAAAGTACTTTATTTTAAATGTACTTTAAGTATTAAAAGTAAAAGTACTTGCATAACAATTTATTATCTTAATGTCTATTTTGTAATGATTAATAAAACATTTAATTCTAACTCATTCAACCTAATAGCCTACTCCTGTAATTAAGTTCAATAATGATGGAAAAAAATGTCACCATTTCTGAAACAAGCTTGCAATTAGGCAATATACACATCATGCTTATCCTTACTATATAATAACTATGTTTGGCAGTAAACGAGATTAATTCATGGTGTAATTATGAACCTCTTGGCTTGCCATAATCCTAACCAAACCAAACATATATTACACACGGTGTGTTTCCTATGCACGTAAAAACAAATTTTCGCGTATGAGTTGCACGATAAACAGTCGTCTGCGTGTGAGACGCATTTAGTGTGACCGGGTTGATATACTGTATCTATGGCAACCAAACGTCACTGGTGAGACAAACGTGCAACGAACGGACGGTCAGATTACGTTTTGGCAGGGGAAAAACTGATCAGAAAATGTAACGAAAATGTAACAGAAGTTGTAGAAATGTAGTGGAGTAGAAAGTAGAATAATTGCTGCGAAATGTAACAAAGTAAAAGTAAAAAGTATGCACTATTTATTGTACTTAAGTAAAGTAAAGATACGTGAAAAATGTACTTAAGTAAAGTAACGAAGTATTTGTACTTCGTTACATTCCACCACTGCCACTGACATTATTCTGAAATGTGCCTGGACTTGTTTAAAGTGATTAACGTCAAACACACACATCTGTGTATCTGTGTGGAGTGTGAGCCCAGGTTTATTAGCACAGCTCATTTCCCACACGCTAATCGCCTCAGACTCACATTAAAATAATTTAGGCTCACCGTATTTAGCGGTAATAAACGATATCATATATTTACTGATGGTTTCAGGCTTATATTTTCATTCATTTTCAGGAAGATATGCATTTCAATATAAAGCACCATATGATTGCAATAAACTTCCAATTTCAATTCGCTTTTTAACTTCTTTTCCAATATTTAAAAGTCATTTAGCTCAACATCTTCAGAATTTATTTTATTATATTTATTTCTCACTGTAACTTATTTTTTTGGCATGGTACATATATATATATATATATATATATTTTGTCTGTATATGAGTTTACTTGTGTTTTGATGTTGTCTTGGCACAAATGATATGGTTTACTCTATTTAGGGAGAAGTGTGTCACCTTTTGGGAGTCTTGTATGAATGAATGTCTTGTTTGGTTTTGGCTTATATATTTAGCTATATTGTACTACTGTAAAGCATTTTTTTTTTCCGTTTTGTTAGTTTTTCTTGTGTATTTTTTATTTGTTTATTGGTTTTTGCTATTTGTTTTGTTAAATTCCAGCTTTTTTATTTGAATCTAGAATTAACTCCTCGAAAACGAGACGGCTCATCTCAAGGGGCTATTCCTCTTAAATAAAAATGTCAAATTCTTGTTCTATAATGAAAACTGTTCAATGATGAGATTTGCTGTGGAATGAAGGGAACTAAAATGTTTGTAAACGCTTGATTTTATTTCCAGTATTTTCCATTATTTCTGAGTGTAATAATATAAAGTCACACACAGAGGTCAGATGTGACTTGTGTCACAAGGATAAATGAATCATTCAGATTTTTGTTCTGATTTTTGAACAATGTATCGTAACTGTTGTATTTATTTCAACTTTAAGTGTTTCCAGCTGATCCAAGCGCTGCCGGTTTCAGACTTGAGCTCGACTCCAGCACTGCATCATGGGACACACGTGTGTGTTTGTGAGCATTGCCGTTCTGGAGTCACTAGCCAACTATCTCAAAATGTGTGTTCCTGCGGTGTCGCTGCTTGTGTCTCTCAGGATGGGATCATCAACACACACGCAGGATACACACCTCGAGCTCTCTGCGCAGACGTGCGTTCTCATCGGCCACGAGCTGCTGCTGCTGACGGCACACAGCGACCTCCAGCTGCTCCATGCGGCGCATGCCCTGCTCCAGCTCCAGACAACTGCACACACACACACACACACACACATCAGCACAGGCTCCAGACGACTGCACACACACACACACACTGAGAGAGCAGGACACACACCTCTTCAGACGCACCTCCTCCGCGTTGTCCAGCGCCTTCAGTCTGCGCGCGTACAGGAAGATGATGTGGCTGCGCTTCGCCTGCTTGTTACACTGAACACAACGACAGATCATCAGATACACTCGTTTATTAACTTCAGTGCCACGTGTCTGCACATATATTCAATCAAAATTAAAGGGCACCTATTATGCCCCCTTTTACAAGATGTAATATTGGTCTCGGGTGTCCCTAGAATGTATTTGTGAAGTTTCAGCTCAAAATACCCCACAGTTAATTTATTATAACCATTTGAAAATGTCATTTTGGGGCCTGCTTAAAAATGAGCTGTTTCGGGGGTATACGGCTTTAAATGCAAATGAGCTGCATATCCCCGCCCTGCCTTTGGATGAGAGCTTAACTTGATACCTATGGCAGTCGGTAAGCAGAAGGGCTAAGAGAGTGAGAGACGCGCTGTTTTGAATGTCATTCAGCCGTACGTTTGAATCGGAATATATAAATAGTACGAAGAGACTCCGGCAGAATAAACACAAATGAGAATGGACCAGTACGTCTCGGTATGGTTATTTGATACTTTTATGTACTTTAGGGTTGTAATCGTGTTCCCTTTGAAATGATGGGCATGTGCAACACACACACACAGACACACAAACACTAATGCTGGCGCATTTTTTTTGAAATTACATACACATACTGTGATAAAGTTTGCTACGTACAAGCGAAATTACATTTATGCGAGGGACGGGGACCTGTGGCGTCATGTTTACTTGGCATACGTATAGGTGCTTATGTGGCAAATGTGAGGAGATGGCTAACATACAGAACAAGAACATATATGCAGTTTTTAATACAATATCTTTAAATATATATAAACGTGTGGTTACACACTATACAAACAAGGTTTAAATTATATAGCCTACACAGACATCCTACAACGACAACAACTTTAGACGCATTTGTTGTTGAATTGGCTGACATTGACTGAAAAGACTATTTGCTCAAAAATCATAAAACACACTTACTGTTACTGGAGGTGACGGTGGATCGCAAACAGTAGATGACGATCCACAGTTGAGGATTAACTTTTAAGCTACAACAACAGGATTAACCCACGAGTCCACGACAGAACACTTGTGTTTCCAAGAGACATAACAGGTAATGGAGGATGATGTGTACACTGTACAGATCACCGAGGGCGGGGTCTAGGCCACAGCCACACTGTCAATCAACCCCCTGTCTCCCGTTCTACGTCACAAAGAGCTGAATCTCAGAACAGCTCGTTCTGAGGCAGTGCATATGATTTATTGAGATTGTAAAAAAACCACTGGGTGGATTTTTATCATTCTAGGGTGGTTTTGCTCACACACTGCCAACACACATTTATGTTCAAACACCATGTAAAAGTGAATTTTCCATAATAGGTGCCCTTTAAGGTTTTTAAATATTTAAAACATCATGTTCATTTTAATGTTATTGTTATCGGTCCGCGATATATTAAAGGAATAGTTCACCCAAAAATGAAAATTAGCCCATGATTTACTCTCCCCCAAGTCATCCTAGCTGTATATGACATTGTTCTTTCAGACGAATACAATCACAGTTATATTAAAATTGAATGTAGTATACCAGTTCATACCGAAAACTGGTTTCTATTTTTGTTACGATGACATGTTCATTTTTAATATACCGCCATACTGATGTATTTAATTACACAGCGTTCGGAACGAACGTTACGCCCCGCCGCCGACACGTCTCACACGGACCCTTTACAATGTTGCACTTCTAAGCAGCGACGGTGAGGCGAGGGTAAACCAGACAGCAGTGCTCTGGTGTTACGTTACAGCGAAGGTGGATGCTGCAGAACTATGGTTATTTTCCTGTCAAATGTTGAAAGCGCACTATTGTAGTGCTAAAGGAAATTAATATTTATATTATTATATTCCATACACGTTGCTCTTGTGAGAATAGGTCTATTTTCTCTGGGCTCGCTCAGAGAATCCTGCACTTAAAACATGTTTAGTGCAATCGCGAATCTATCCTCTTCCCCAGCTAACAGTTTTAGGTTATAAGAATCTTTTTGTTCCCATTAAGTTATAAAAACGTTATTTCTGAATGTTCAAGGAACATTTAAAACATCCAATTTTTTTAGACGTTGTATGAACGTTCTTGCTTGGTTATAAGATTGTTAGTAGAATGTTACCGGAAAACCGGCTTAACTCTGGAAAAAAAAAACGTGATATCAATAATTGGTCAAACAGCCCAGCACTAATTGAATGGCCATCAAAGTGCATCTATCCATGATAAAAGTGCATCTCTCCATCATAAAAGTGCACTGTCAATCATAAAAGTGCATCGGTCCATGATAAAATTCCATCTTATAAAAGTGCATCTGTCCATCATAAAAGTGCAGATGTCCATCATAAAAGTGCACCTGTCCATCATAAAAGTGCACCTGTCCATCATAAAAGTGCACCTGTCCATCATAAAAGTGCATCTGTCATCATAAAAGTGCAGATGTCCATCATAAACGTGCACCTATCCATCATAAAAGTGCATCTATCCATCATAAAAGTGCATCTGTCCATCATAAAAGTGCATCTGTCCATCATAAAAGTGCAGATGTCCATCATAAACGTGCACCTATCCATCATAAAAGTTCATCTGTCCATCATAAAAGTGCATCTGTCCATCATAAAAGTGCATCTGTCCATCATAAAAGTGCACCTATCCATCATAAAAGTGCATCTATCCATCATAAAAGTGCATCTATCCTAGGGCTGGGCGATATGGCCAAAAAATCATATCTCGATATTTTTTGGTCAAATGGCGATATACGATATATATCTCGGTACTTTCTACGTTTTCTATTTAGATAAAGAAAATCTTTATATTGAAAAAAAAAAAAAATATATATATATATATATATATATATATATATAGGCTATATATTCACATTCGGCCCAATGATACCCTACAAACAATGTTGATATTGAAGGATATGGAAACAAATATAATATAGGCTATGCAATATATTATGTGCAAAAAGCTTTTGTTTTTATATTGACTAAAAGCTAAACTAAAAATGAAAATAAAAACAAAAACAAAAGCACAAACTAATTATATTAGCCTGCATTTGATTACCCCATTATAATCACTTTCACTTTCATTAAAAATATATACTTGTAGGTTTAAAATTCCACATATGGCACATTTATTTTCTCCAACAACAAATATTTTAGCAATATGTTTATTTTAGTCAGAATTATTGCGTACTACGTAGTACTATTCACGCGCATGCGCGCGCCGGCGCTCGTTCAAGGAAGCATGAATTTTAGCGGAGATTCACTTGCAGAAGCTCGTCCTCTTCTGACATGGACATATTTGTTGTGAAATGGACATATTTGCTTTACTTTCTAACATTTACAGATGGAGAATATACATGTGAAATGTAAGTTGAGCACTGAGGAAAGCACCACATCTCAAACGCATTAAACAGCGCAAGTATATCTGTCAGTCAGCAACAGTGTCTGTCAGAGCATTTGACAGGGCGGCAAGCTGCCTTAAACTTGTTAACTATATCAAAGTGATTTTGACGCAATTAATATAAGCTTGTGTCATGTTTAGGACAAATTGTACTATGTAGCCTATAGCTACTTTCACTGCAGCAGCTCACACTGCAAACTCCGCTATTTTTCAGATGTGCTCATATCAAACTACTGTATCGATATAAACGGTATTGCCTCATTCCATATCGTTTCAAAAAATATAACGATACATCGTACAAACTCGATATATCGCCCAGCCCTAATCTATCCATCATAAAAGTGCATCTATCCATCATAAAAGTGCATCTGTCCATCACATAAGTGCATCTATCCATCATAAAAGTACATCTATCATCATAAAAGTGCATCTGTCCATCATAAAAGTGCATCTGTCCATCATAAAAGTGCATCTGTCCATCATAAAAGTGCACCTATCCATCATAAAAGTGCACCTATCCATCATAAAAGTGCATCTATCCATCATAAAAGTGCATCTGTCCATCATAAAACTGCTCCACAGGCTCTGGGGGGTTATAAAGCACTTATGAAGAAAGTTTGTGTAGAAATTAGAAAGTAAAATAAATTCGCTTCCGGCAGACGGCTGGAAGAATGTCATAGCCTACACCTGGGATGACTTGAGGGCAAGTAAATAATGGGCTAATTTTCATTTTTTTGGGTGAACTATCATTTTAGTTGTTCCCTTAGCTGAGGGGAAATCACGCCTTAAGTCTCATACTCAAGGGAAGAACGTATGCAACTGTGCACTGGCCTGTAATCTTGAATGAGAGAGTGAGCGCACCTGTGGACACTTGTTCCCTCCGCCCGAGAGCCAGCGTGAGATGCAGATGTAGCCGAACAGGTGTCCGCAGCGCAGAGCGGCCAGCCGGTGGTCCCCGGCCGAGGTCCAGGGCTCGAAGCAGATGGAGCAGATCTCGCCCTCCCCGTCCCGGTCCTCAGCCTCTCCTGCGGGACACGGCACCGCTCCTGCGGGACCCCCCGGCTCTGGCACAACCTCTCCTGCGGGAACCCCTGGCTCCGGCACAGCCTCGCCTACGGGACAGGGGACAGCTCCTGCGGGACTCTCTGGCTCCGGCAAAGGCTCGCCTGCGGGACCCACCGGCTCCAGCACTGCCTCTCCTGCGAGACCCACCGGCTCCGGCACAGCCTCTCCTGCGAGACCCATCGGCTCCGGCACAGCCTGGGTAGAGAGAGGCAAATACTGTACCCACAATCCTTCACAGAACAGCAAGAGCTCAGGACCAACACAAGCTCTCAATCACACCTCAGACTCTGGTCTCGGCTCTCCTGCTCCCGTCCCTCCGGGCTCCTGAGGAACACTGGGTCCTGTGTGTTACACACAAACATCTTTATTAGTGATCAATGGATGCTCACAATTAGATATAGTGTCTGTCATATAGGGCAAAGCGCCTTTACCTAAAGTCTTTAAAGGGTTAGTTTACTTTAAAATGAAGTGGCCATCTAGTGGCAAGAGTCATGGAATATCATGTTATATTAGGTCGGCAGACACTCAATGCAAGATATTTTGAGTTGAATTAAAAGGTTTATGCATACAAATTTAGTTATTTTAAATTTAAGTTGAAAGAATGTGAGGAAAGTGCTTAAATTACTATTTAATGATTACTTCTGATTAAATAGTCATTTAAAAGTAAATAAAAAAATAATACAAAACCAAGATAATCCATCCAGCTCACAGGTGTGGCATATCATGATGCTGGTTAGACAGCATGATTATTGCACAGGTGTGCCTTAAGCTGGCAACATTAAAAGGCCACTCTAAAATGTGCAGTTTTACTGTATTCCCCAAAAAAAGGTTGTTGATTGTGGCCTGTGAGATGTTGGTCCACTCCTCTCCAATGGAAGTGCGAAGTTGCTGGATATTGGCAGGACCTGGAACACGCTGTCGTATACGCGGATCTAGAACATCCCAAACACATTCATTCATGCTGACTGCAGGAATGTCCACCAGAGCTGTTGCCCATGAATTGAATGTTCATTTTTCTACCATAAGCCGTCTCCAAAGGTGTTTCAGAGAACTTGGCAGTACATGCAACCAGCCTCACAACCACAGTCCACGTGTAACCCCAGCAGCCCAGGACCTTCACATCCAGCATGTTCACCCCCAAGATCATCTGAGGCCAGTCACAAGACGGCCCGAGGCCAGCCGCCCCGGACACAAGACGGCCCGAGGGCAGCCGCCCCGGACACAAGACGGCCCGAGGCCAGCCGCCCCGGACACAAGACGGCCCGAGGGCAGCCGCCCCGGACACAAGACGGCCCGAGGCCAGTCGCCCAGGCAACAAGACGGCCCGAGGCCAGTCGCCCGGACTCAAGACCGTCTGAGGCCAGTCGCCCGGACACAAGATCGTCTGAGGCCAGTCGCCCGGACACAAGATTGTCTGAGGCAAGCCGCCTGGACACAAGATTGTCTGAGACCGGACACAAGATCGTCTGAGGCCAGCCGCCCGGACACAAGATTGTCTGAGGCAAGCCGCCTGGACACAAGATTGTCTGAGACCGGACACAAGATTGTCTGAGGCCAGCCGCCTGGACACAAGATTGTCTGAAACCGGACACAAGACCGCCCGAGGCCAGCCGCCCGGACACAAGACCGCCCATGGCCATAAACCAGGTAATTGACTATGTCAGGGTCAAGTCAAGTCAAGTCACATTTATTTATATAGCGCTTTTCACAATACAGATTGTATCAAAGCAGCTTCACAGTGATAACATGTAAGTAGCACAACACAGATCAACAACATTGCTAAACACTAAATAAATAACCCCAACTGAGCAAGCTCAAAGCAAGCCAAAAGCAAGGCGACAGTGGCAAGGAACCAAAACTCCATCAGATTGGATGGAGAAAAAACCTTGGGAGAACCCAGGCTCAGTCGGGGGCCAGTTCTCCTCTGGCTTACATTCATACAGGGTCTGTGAAAGGTGGTAGTGCTTTGGGTCTTTCGTCCATTCTGTACTAGCAGGTCGTACAGGTTCCTATGTTGTTGATGTCAAGTAGTTTCTCTAAATAACATTGTTTGGTGTTGTTATTTAGTCTCTCCCGGTAGAGCTCCTTTCCTTTTGATTCTCCCTTCTTTGTTTATTCCCAAGAAACTGTGCCTTATCGCAAAAATGCAAACAACTATCAAGCTGCTCTCTCTCTGTTGCTTTCTCTCTCAGTCTCAAGTTCGAAGTAACCATGACAACGGATAGCATATCGTTCCAAGACGTCGACACCTTACAACAATGCAACACGGAGTGAAATGCGTGACTGACACAGCCGCCCGGACACAAGATCGTCTGAGGCCAGTCGCCCGGACACAAGACCGTCTGGGGCCAGCCGCCAGGACACAAGACCGTCTGGGGCCAGTCGCCCGGACACAAGACCGTCTGAGGCCAGTCGCCCGGACACAAGACCGCCTGGGGCCAGCCGCCCGGACACAAGACCGTCTGGGGCCAGTCGCCCGGACACAAGACCGTCTGGGGCCAGTCGCCCGGACACAAGACCGTCTGAGGCCAGTCGCCCGGACACAAGACCGCCTGGGGCCAGTCGCCCGGACACAAGACCGCCTGGGGCCAGCCGCCCGGACACAAGACCGTCTGGGGCCAGTCGCCCGGACACAAGACCGTCTGGGGCCAGCCGCCAGGACACAAGACCGTCTGGGGCCAGTCGCCCGGACACAAGACCGTCTGAGGCCAGTCGCCCGGACACAAGACCGCCTGGGGCCAGCCGCCCGGACACAAGACCGTCTGGGGCCAGTCGCCCGGACACAAGACCGTCTGAGGCCAGTCGCCCGGACACAAGACCGCCTGGGGCCAGTCGCCCGGACACAAGACCGTCTGAGGCCAGTCGCCCGGACACAAGACCGCCTGGGGCCAGTCGCCCGGACACAAGACCGTCTGAGGCCAGTCGCCCGGACACAAGACCGTCTGGGGCCAGCCGCCCGGACACAAGACCGTCTGGGGTAGTAGTTTCTCTAAAAAACGCTGCTTGGTGTTGTTATTTAGTCTCTCCCGATAGAGCTCCTTTCCTTTTGCTTCCGCCTTCTTCGTTTATTCACAAAAAACCGTGCCTTATCGCAAAAATGCAAACAACTATCAAGCTGCTCTCTCTCTCTCTCTCTGTCGCTATCTCTCTCAGTCTCAAGGTTGAAGTAACCATGACAATGGATAGCGTATCCTTCCAAGATGGCGACACCTTCCAACAATGCAACACGGAGTGAAACGAGCGACGTCACATTCTCATTGTCAATAAGACAGCGTGTTCCAGGTCCTGCCAATATCCAGCAACTTCGCACAGCCGTTGAAGAGGAGTGGACCAACATCCCTCAGGCCACAAACAACCTTTTTTTTTTCAACCCCAGGACCCCCAATACAGTAAAACTGCACATTTTAGAGTTGCCTTTTATTGTGGCCAGCCTAAGGCACACCTGTGCAATAATCACACTGTCTAACCAGCATCTTGATGTGCCACACCTGTGAGGTGGATGGATTATCTCGGCAAAGCAGAAGTGCTCAGTAACACAGATTTAGGCCATGTCCACACGGACACTTTATAACCGTGACTTTTTTTACGCGGTTCGGCCGTTCGTCCACACGGAAACGCAGTATCAGGACACTGAAACCGAACATTTTTGAAAACCCCTGCCAGGGTGAGTATTTTCTGAAACGGCGGTTGCTGCGTTGTCGTGTAAACAGGTTATATTAGGTCGGCAGACACTCAATGCAAGATATTTTGAGTTGAATTAAAAGGTTTATGCATACAAATTTAGTTATTTTAAATTTAAGTTGAAAGAATGTGAGGAAAGTGCTTAAATTACTATTTAATGATTACTTCTGATTAAATAGTCATTTAAAAGTAAATAAAAAAATAATACAAAACCAAGATAATCCATCCAGCTCACAGGTGTGGCATATCATGATGCTGGTTAGACAGCATGATTATTGCACAGGTGTGCCTTAAGCTGGCAACATTAAAAGGCCACTCTAAAATGTGCAGTTTTACTGTATTCCCCAAAAAAAGGTTGTTGATTGTGGCCTGTGAGATGTTGGTCCACTCCTCTCCAATGGAAGTGCGAAGTTGCTGGATATTGGCAGGACCTGGAACACGCTGTCGTATACGCGGATCTAGAACATCCCAAACACATTCATTCATGCTGACTGCAGGAATGTCCACCAGAGCTGTTGCCCATGAATTGAATGTTCATTTTTCTACCATAAGCCGTCTCCAAAGGTGTTTCAGAGAACTTGGCAGTACATGCAACCAGCCTCACAACCACAGTCCACGTGTAACCCCAGCAGCCCAGGACCTTCACATCCAGCATGTTCACCCCCAAGATCATCTGAGGCCAGTCACAAGACGGCCCGAGGCCAGCCGCCCCGGACACAAGACGGCCCGAGGCCAGCCGCCCCGGACACAAGACGGCCCGAGGCCAGCCTCCCCGGACACAAGACGGCCCGAGGCCAGCCGCCCCGGACACAAGACGGCCCGAGGCCAGCCGCCCCGGACACAAGACGGCCCGAGGCCAGCCGCCCCGGACACAAGACGGCCCGAGGCCAGCCGCCCCGGACACAAGACGGCCCGAGGCCAGCCGCCCCGGACACAAGACGGCCCGAGGCCAGCCTCCCCGGACACAAGACGGCCCGAGGCCAGCCGCCCCGGACACAAGACGGCCCGAGGCCAGCCGCCCCGGACACAAGACGGCCCGAGGCCAGCCGCCCCGGACACAAGACGGCCCGAGGCCAGTCGCCCGGACTCAAGACCGTCTGAGGCCGGTCGCCCGGACACAAGATCGTCTGAGGCCAGTCGCCCGGACACAAGATTGTCTGAGGCAAGCCGCCTGGACACAAGATTGTCTGAGACCGGACACAAGATCGTCTGAGGCCAGCCGCCCGGACACAAGATTGTCTGAGGCAAGCCGCCTGGACACCAGATTGTCTGAGACCGGACACAAGATTGTCTGAGGCCAGCCGCCTGGACACAAGATTGTCTGAAACCGGACACAAGACCGCCCGAGGCCAGCCGCCCGGACACAAGACCGCCCATGGCCATAAACCAGGTAATTGACTATGTCAGGGTCAAGTCAAGTCAAGTCACATTTATTTATATAGCGCTTTTCACAATACAGATTGTATCAAAGCAGCTTCACAGTGATAACATGTAAGTAGCACAACACAGATCAACAACATTGCTAAACACTAAATAAATAACCCCAACTGAGCAAGCTCAAAGCAAGCCAAAAGCAAGGCGACAGTGGCAAGGAACCAAAACTCCATCAGATTGGATGGAGAAAAAAACCTTGGGAGAACCCAGGCTCAGTCGGGGGCCAGTTCTCCTCTGGCTTACATTCATACAGGGTCTGTGAAAGGTGGTAGTGCTTTGGGTCTTTCGTCCATTCTGTACTAGCAGGTCGTACGGGTTCCTATGTTGTTGATGTCAAGTAGTTTCTCTAAATAACATTGTTTGGTGTTGTTATTTAGTCTCTCCCGGTAGAGCTCCTTTCCTTTTGATTCTCCCTTCTTTGTTTATTCCAAGAAACTGTGCCTTATCGCAAAAATGCAAACAACTATCAAGCTGCTCTCTCTCTGTTGCTTTCTCTCTCAGTCTCAAGTTCGAAGTAACCATCACAACGGATAGCATATCGTTCCAAGACGTCGACACCTTACAACAATGCAACACGGAGTGAAATGCGTGACTGACACAGCCGCCCGGACACAAGATCGTCTGAGGCCAGTCGCCCGGACACAAGACCGTCTGGGGCCAGCCGCCAGGACACAAGACCGTCTGGGGCCAGTCGCCCGGACACAAGACCGTCTGAGGCCAGTCGCCCGGACACAAGACCGCCTGGGGCCAGCCGCCCGGACACAAGACCGTCTGGGGCCAGTCGCCCGGACACAAGACCGTCTGGGGCCAGTCGCCCGGACACAAGACCGTCTGAGGCCAGTCGCCCGGACACAAGACCGCCTGGGGCAGTCGCCCGGACACAAGACCGCCTGGGGCCAGCCGCCGGACACAAGACCGTCTGGGGCCAGTCGCCCGGACACAAGACCGTCTGGGGCCAGCCGCCAGGACACAAGACCGTCTGGGGCCAGTCGCCCGGACACAAGACCGTCTGAGGCAGTCGCCCGGACACAAGACCGCCTGGGGCCAGCCGCCCGGACACAAGACCGTCTGGGGCCAGTCGCCCGGACACAAGACCGTCTGAGGCCAGTCGCCCGGACACAAGACCGCCTGGGGCCAGTCGCCCGGACACAAGACCGTCTGAGGCCAGTCGCCCGGACACAAGACCGCCTGGGGCCAGTCGCCCGGACACAAGACCGTCTGAGGCCAGTCGCCCGGACACAAGACCGTCTGGGGCCAGCCGCCCGGACACAAGACCGTCTGGGGTAGTAGTTTCTCTAAAAAACGCTGCTTGGTGTTGTTATTTAGTCTCTCCCGATAGAGCTCCTTTCCTTTTGCTTCCGCCTTCTTCGTTTATTCACAAAAAACCGTGCCTTATCGCAAAAATGCAAACAACTATCAAGCTGCTCTCTCTCTCTCTCTCTGTCGCTATCTCTCTCAGTCTCAAGGTTGAAGTAACCATGACAATGGATAGCGTATCCTTCCAAGATGGCGACACCTTCCAACAATGCAACACGGAGTGAAACGAGCGACGTCACATTCTCATTGTCAATAAGACAGCGTGTTCCAGGTCCTGCCAATATCCAGCAACTTCGCACAGCCGTTGAAGAGGAGTGGACCAACATCCCTCAGGCCACAAACAACCTTTTTTTTTTCAACCCCAGGACCCCCAATACAGTAAAACTGCACATTTTAGAGTTGCCTTTTATTGTGGCCAGCCTAAGGCACACCTGTGCAATAATCACACTGTCTAACCAGCATCTTGATGTGCCACACCTGTGAGGTGGATGGATTATCTCGGCAAAGCAGAAGTGCTCAGTAACACAGATTTAGGCCATGTCCACACGGACACTTTATAACCGTGACTTTTTTTACGCGGTTCGGCCGTTCGTCCACACGGAAACGCAGTATCAGGACACTGAAACCGAACATTTTTGAAAACCCCTGCCAGGGTGAGTATTTTCTGAAACGGCGGTTGCTGCGTTGTCGTGTAAACAGCGAAATCGGAGTTTTTGCAGCGCTGACGGCTTCTGATTGGCTAACGTGGCTTTAGGGTTAGGTTTATATCGCCGCCTGCTGGTGTTGCATGCTCTTGACAGCACATGATAGCGTGTTTTTGCGTTTTCATGTGGACAGAGGTCTTTTTTTAAACGCAGGAGGGAAAAACTCCGGTTATAAAAATACCCGTGTCCGTGTGGACAAGGCATTAGACAGCTTGTGACAGTGTTGTAGTACTCGAGACTCGGACTCGGTCTCGAGACCATATTTTAATGGTCTTGGTCTTGTCATGGACTCGTGTGCATTTGGACTCGGAATTGACTCGTACTCGAACATTTTTTTTTAGGACTCGGAACTCGGAGTCCACTCGAGTTCAATTCAAAATATTTTTCATGATTATTAATATATGTTAATAAAATATTTCTTTAAATTGATTGACACGCCCGGTGATTTTCTAGTGCGCAACTGCGCATGACAAATTGTAATAAAATTACTTTTAACACCACCTACTATGTGGCCTTTTTACCCTAAACTGATCATATTTTTTAAACTAAGTAAATTCAGTAAAAAAAAAGGATTTCTCTAAGTAAATAAAAGTAAATTAGGTAATCAACCCTCACTGGTCTCTGTCTCGACTCTCTCTGATCTCGGTCTCGACTCGAACTCGAGTGAGGTGGTCTCGACTACAACACTGGCTTGTGAACAATATTTGAGAATAATAGGCCTTTTGTGTGCATAGTAAAAGCCATAGTAATCTTTAAGTTCAGCTCATGAAAAATTGGGGCAAAAACAAAAGTGTTTATAATTTTGTTCAGTGTTTAAGGGAAGACCAAAACACTTAAGTTGGTTATGGTATCTATCTGACAAAATTATTTTGGCAAAAAACACAAACTACAGGTTTTATTTTACAATGCAAAAAAAAAAAAAAAATTAGTTATTAATATTTTGTAGGTTCTCTCTTGTTTCTGCATGTTCATCATTTCTCTTGATGACAGCTTGGCCAAAAATTAGACGCACAATAGTCACAGTTTAAAATAAGACCAAACTTGAGTCTGTGCTCCAAAGGCTTTACATTTTTAGGTTTTTAACACAGGCATTTTTGTCCTCTAAGGACCTCAGAGCAACTCTTTCCTTTTGAAGGACACACATAGGGTTAGAGAATGGAGGAACCTGTGTGTGAGGCGAGGGCTGGCCGTGGGCCCGAGGCGGCGGGCTGACGGGACGTGTGTGTGATGACGGCAGCGGGCCGGCTGGAGGAGTGTGCGTGAGCGTCAGCTGTGTGTCGTCTCAGGCGCTCCGACAGCTCCTCTGTGTCCCGTATAAGCGCCTGGAGCTCTTCACGAGTGCTCAGTCTGGGAAACAGAAGAAGGCCATGGACTCATTTCTCCGACAGCAGGGGCTTAAATGTCTATCGCTGGAAAACGTGAGTGAACCCTTTGCATTTACTTGTGAATTATATATAATTGCTGCGTAATTTACAGTTCTAAAGAAATACTGCATTATGGGGGAAAGCTGTGGTTCTGTTACCCAGTCCTCCGCCTCCTCCTCCTCTGGACCTGCCGATTCACCGGACGCCGGAGCCGATCCAACAGCGAAGACACACTCTCGTCTTCTGTGGTGCTGTCGGACTCCGAGAGCACGATCACACCGGCCGCTGCATCCACCTCCATGTCCTCCATCCTCACACACCGCCTGCAGGACACACGGAGACGTGAAACACTACACACACCGCCAGCGCTCTACTGTTTACGCCAGCGACTACAGGAAACCAATTCACTTAAACAAACCACAATTCTGAAAACAAAACAACAAATTTATAAACGCAATGGAAAGATTAAAAACAAGTGAACAAGATTGAAAACTCATTAACATTTTTGAAAACTAAATAACAAACCAGAAAACACAACGACAAGTCAGACAAAATAGAAAAGGTAGGTATATGTGGCGAATTGAACACTGACCGCTGATTGGACGGGACATCTGTCAATCACGACGTGCAGAAATTACAGCAGAAGGAAGTTGATTGGCATGTGTAAATGTGTAAAACAATAAAGGTCAGTATTCCATTCGCCCGTTTTGTCTGATTTGTAATTGTGTTTTCTGATTTGTTATTCTTATGCGCGTGTGATCAGCGTTTATCACAGTTTAAAGTCTGTGTAGAGAACGGTGTCGTCTTAGCGAACCCTAATTTATTAACAAATGATCATTTCGACGGAAGTGAATCAATCAAAACTAACTTTAGCTGGAAAAAACATAATTCAAGAACCACTATAAACCCAAACCAATCTCTGGGATTGTAAATGAAATGGGTTTTTCTTTTTCTAAAAAAAATATATAAATGTTCTATCAAACGATACCTACCTTTTGACTCTTGCTATACTTTTGCGTTTTACAGTCTTTACTTCAGAGTATGCCTTAAAAGGAGTAGTTCACTTTTGCTGATAATTTACTCACACACAAGTCATCCGAGATGTCCATGTCTTTCTTTCTTCAGTCCAAAAGAAATTAAGGTTTTTGATGAAAACATTCCAGGATTTTCTCCATATAATGGACTTCAATGGGAACCAAACGGTTCAAGGTCCAAATGAGTTTCAGTGCAAACTGTTCAACGGGCTAAACGACACCAGACGATGAATAAGGCTCTCAACAAGCGAAACGATCGCTCATTTAAAAAATGACTCGAGAAAAGAACAGGAGAGTCACGAACACACATCACAGAACAGAGCAAGGCGAGCATTTGTGCTTATAAAACGTAAACATTTTTATTTATTTTTCAAATGACCGATGGTTTCGCTTGATAAGACCCTTTTAGCTGCACTGAAACGGTGATTTGGACCTTGAACCGTTTGGTTCCCATTGAAGTCCATATATATGCAGAAAAATGCTGGAATGTTTTCATCAAAAACCTTAATTTCTTTTCGACTGAAGAAGGAAAGAAATGGATATCTTGGATGACATGAGGGTGAGTAAATTATCAGCAAAAGTTTTTTTTTTTTTTTTTAAGTGAACTAAGTTACTCACAAGTGGGTAAGACACAAGTGGGTCTGCATCTCCACACCTCTGCCTCAGAAGGGGAAAAGGGAATAAACATTCGCCTCTGTGTCACACCAATCCTCACCAACTCCACACAAAGGTCTTGTTTATGTAACACTTACATCATACTTTGAAAATTAACTTTATCCTTCGCTAAATTACTTTCGGTTCCCCTGAAAGAGAAGCAGAACAGAGTTCGCTATCCGGGTCTCTCTCGCATACTATCGGGTTGAGTTCGAGTACGGGGAGTATGCGAACTACACTAGCTTGAGAAACGTCCTGCTAGATCGCCTGTTAAAAGTTGTAGTCGTCAAATCACACTGTGCCTGTGTAGATCAGGGTTATCTAAAGTCAACATCCAGCAGGTCAAAGCTTTCTCTAACAAACTGACCAGAGACACTGTTATCATGAGCATGATTGCTAATGTTGCTAACTACAGCACACCAAAACATCTGACATTAACAACATTTACCGAGCACAGCGTCCGGTTTGCCTGAGGGATTTCTTCGTCCGGTCGCCAACAAACCAGCTTTCCCAGCTTTAAAGTTGATCGTGGTGCGATTTCGAATAATTACAAACAATCTCGATAAATTCGTGAAAGAATGCATGCAGGATATTCGCTCCTGCTGCAAACACAACCGCCAACCCAAAGCCCCGCCCCCTCCGAGCGTTATGGCGTTTGATTGGACAAAGAGCGTGCGATGGTCTCTGACTCATTTCCGGGAATCGGTCCTTTCAAACAGTTCATTCTACAGAACCAGTGGTCTGTTGCATAACAAACTGCTTTGAGGAATAGTCTTACAAGCTGAAGCTAGTCATGTAATTTTGTTGGGCATAACTTTTTTAAGTCACTCATAAAACTGTAGAATGGTCTAATTGGAATCCAAAAAGAAAGATTCATGATTCGTTCAGAACGACTTTTTGAACTGAAAAGAATCGACTCAACAGGACGATTCGCTTAAGAAAAAAAACATAATAGAGGCAATGCTCAAATAATTTATTGTTATTTTTAAAGACTTGCCACATTATGTTACCTTTAACATGCTACACGGACACACCGCTAATATTGTTACAGAAATGACTGTGATAGTTCAGTTCATGTAGAACTTGTACGTACGCACACACACACACACGCACACACACACACACACACACACACACACTTTAGCCAGCCCAGCAGAGGGCGTTGCGATTCTATTCTGCTGTAAAGATGCTGAATTTTGTGTTATTTCATGATCATGTCCAACATTACTCCACTGGCTCCTGTCGCTGCAAACAGTCCCTAACCCAAGAGTAGATAGGACATACTTTTAACAGTTGTGAAGTAATCACTTGTTCAAAAGAAGTAGCTTATATGCAATTTCAGACGCAGCTAATGAGATTAATAGAATTTAGGCCCAGAATGCATTGCAACAACCTCCAAAAAATCCTCCCAAGATGGCAGACAAAGTAAAAGAAGTGTTGATAATCATTCACCCAATACCAAAAATACAATAGACTATTAAATTATAATGTTTATTAGAAAATTGCTTGTTATCTTAGTAACATGCTAACCCTAAACTCCATTGGAATCAGCATTGAGTCGAGCCTCTGATGCAAAGCCTGCGGGGAACGCTATTTGTTTGACTAATTAGCACTGTCAGGTATTAAGCTAACAAAGCTGGCAAAGTGCTAGCATTGCTAAGTTTGTTGATCATGTAACCTTGTATTATGTTTTTTTTTATTATTATCTTTTGTTCTATTTTCACAATTACATTTTCCAAACTCTTAGTACTAAAATACAGATCATCAAAAGCACTTTTTCACACACACACCGGAAGTGAGTGAGAGAGAGAGAGAGAGAGAGAGAGAGAGAGAGAGAGAGAGATGCATCAACAGACAGATGGCATCAAATCCTCAAGTCTGTGTCATACTTTAGCACACCTTATGATAACACACTATATAACATAATGGATTCAATTAGATAAGCCTGTAATTACTTAAGAAACAAGTTTGTTTTGATACTGAGATAACAGTTTGGACAGAGACTGTCCCGCTGGATAGGGTACATGATAGCGCTAGCGCTAGCTCACAGGTCCCTGGACTAGCAGGATCCATCACTGACATCTGCTCGACATCATGTGACATCTTTATCAGGTTATATAACTCTGGCCCCGTTCACAGCTGGTTTTAAGATGTGTTTCGGTCGATCGGATCATGAGTGGACGATGCTAAGCTGGTGTCTAACACATTTAGAGCTTGTCCACTTTCGAAGACTTCCAGAGGTGTTGTTGTTTTTTCTCCATCAGATCGAAAGATCTTAAAAAGCCCATACATTCCCCCACCCATAGACCCTCACCTCTAAGAAATCAGGACAGAAGTGGGTGAAAGTGGACAGAAGAGACGGATTAAAGGGTTAGTTCACCCAAAAATGAACCAGTGGAGATTTCTTTAAGACTGCAAGGGAAGCCCAGCTTCCCCTATAATGTCAAACAAATAATGATCAAATGTGTACTATTGTGTTAACATTTTAATGAGTAAAAATGCGTTAGAACACGGTAATCTCGAAGACGAGTTCGTTCAGAATAAGCAACAAATAGCAGGTCGGCTGACTTGATCTCCTTCTCATGCAGCGCCTCCTGTAGCGCGTCACAGTGCATGCATTTTCCTATGGCATTTCCCCGTTGAAGCTCGGCGTCCATTGACTTCAATGGGGCTGCTTTGAACAGTTTTTTTCAGTGCTGTTAAAGTAGACGGTCATTGGATAAATGCTGCGATTATGTCCCGCCCACGGACGCCGGGCGTCTCTGGGGTTAATAGGGAAGTGGGCTGGCCTGGCGTCCGGGCGTCCGCGTGATGATTGGAGGATTGCATCTCCTTTTGATTGACAGTGATTTCACCCAATAAAAAAATCGCTGACGCGGAAGCTAGTTTAAAGACTTCGTGCTCAGTCTCGTCGCGAATTTTGTGTGTATTTTACTCGAAAGACGAACTACTGTAACATATTTCTTAGTATTTGCAATTTTCATCAGATATTTCACAGTTCAACCTAATTACCACATTTCTTCCGTCGATGTCAGGTGTCTTGTTACATGTGCGGGCGTGGTGTTTTGAATCACGGCACATCTGTCTAGTTTGGTTTCACTTTTGTGTTGGGATTCGGACATGCATTCTCCGCGTGTTTGTTTTCGGTTGTGAGTGCACAGGATGACCTTATGGTCGTACTCATGCGTAACGTTAGCGTTCTGTCTTGTCGTGTTCGCTCTGTTCAGTGTGTTGTGTATTGTGTAGCACATGGTTTGTGTTTACATCGGCCGCGTGCTTTCATGTCATGTTTTGTCTTGTGCTGTGTAGCTTGTGTTTTAAACTAGCTGTGTGCTTTCATGTTGTCATGTTCTGTGTGAACACGTGTCTTATGAGTGTTCTCATCGTTCTTCAGGTCTCATTTTGTGTGAGCACAATTGCTTTTTAATTTGTTTTATTGGTCATGTGTTTTTGTCATGTTTGGTATGAGCACATGGCTTGTGCTTGTCATGTGTTTGTTGTGCCATATGTGCTTTCCTGTCATTGTGACTCCCATCTTGTTTCCTGATTATTAGTTATTTTGCCCCACCTGTCCTCCCTCGTTACCTGCCTTTTTTGCTCCCAATTTATTCCCCTTGTTTTTTTTTTTTTATCAATAAAATAAAGCCCAACGAGTCCTCGCTCTTTTCACCATCCCCACACCTGACAGTCGAGTTTAAAAAAAAAGAAGAAAAAAGAAGAGCTTCCCCTCTTTGAAAGACCAGCAGCCGCCACTGAAATGAACATACTGTCAGTATTTACTCACCCTCATGTTGTTCAACCCCGTAAGACCTTCGTTCATCTTTGAACACAAATTAATATATTTAAGATATTAAGATCGCTCCTGCATACTAGTCCATAGGCTTCTTGAGGGACTGGCTCTTGCTGTCCTCGAAAAGTCATTAAAGACATCGTTAAAATAGTCCAAGTGACTACAGGGGCTCAATCTTAAGTTTATCAAACGACGAGAACACTTTTGTGCGCAAAAAAACAACAAAAATAACGAGTTTATTTTAACTATTCGTTTATTTCTCCCTCTGCGCGAGTCAGCTACTAGTTTAATAGCGTAAGCTTCTGTTATTGTACGTCACACGCATCACACACATGACCAGCTTCGGCCAATAGTGAGCCTACGTGTGACGTAGCTTTACGCAATCACACTATGTTAACTGACTACAGGCCCATGAAATAAATATTTGAAATAAAGTCGTTATTTTTGTTGTTTTTGCACACAAAAAGTGTTCTCGTCGTTTGATAAAGTTAAAATTGAGCCCTGTAGTCACTTGGACTATTTTAACGATGTCTTTAATAACTTTTCGAGGCCGACAAGTGTCATTCCCTCAAGAAGCCTATGGACTAGTATGCAGGAGCGATCTTAATATCTTAAACATCTTAATTTGTGTTCAAAGATGAACAAAGGTCTAACGGGGTTGAAACAACATGAGGGTGAGTAAATACTGACAGAATTTTCATTTTTGGGTGAACTAACCCTTTAAAACAGCAGGTGTAAACGGGACTGAGTCTCCATCGTCCACTTGTGATCCGATCCACCAAAACACATCTTAATTCCAGGTGTAAACAGGGCCTTAGACGTCCCGCCCCTCAGACTGCCTAAACCAGTCTGCACTAGTTGTACGGCGCACTATTGAATCGCGTTCCCCATATGGTGTGCGTCAGAAACGGACACAATGCGAGAGAAGTACTGTGTGTTTAAGCCCTCATGTTTGCCATGTGTCTTGGTCAAGTTTTATTTGTGTAATCACTGTCTGGTAAGCTCTGTGTGCATGTCACGCTTTTGTTTTGTTTGTTCACGTTATCCTAAATAAACTGTGCTTGGGTTCTCATCTACACTTGCCCCCAGTGGACTTCCTTACAATGATAAACGATCCCGTTTGTGGAAATCCGCTAATGCATGCCAGAACATCGTCACACCATGTCCTGTTTCTTCACTGTCGTGTTGGTTTGCAGTCGTCAGACGTGACCCGCAGTCCTGACATCGTGGACAATGAACTGAGATTTTAAACCACAGAATCTCTTAGCAACTGGTCAACATTGCCGTAAAGATGTTATTATTAGTGATAGTTGCTGAGGCGAGGAACCAGGAACATGTAATGAGAAGGCAAATGGGGTTCATTTTCATTGTTCAAGAAACACTGGCAAACCATTAGTCATTTTGGCTATTTATGATGGCAGGAACAATCGTCAGTGTGTGAGTAACACTGATCAGAGAAGTAATATGGTGTTGCTAAGAGACTCCTCCGTCCTGGTCTCATGAACACCTGGAGTCTCTTCGGATCAATCCGCTCTGGTTGCCAGGAGCGTGAAGAGTGACACGCGTTTGCTGGAGGGGGTGAAACTGCCATCTGAAACTCCTCCAATCAGAGTCTGAGGACCTTTCAGTGTGAAAAGAGTGCTGTCTACCTATGAATCCTGAATCCACTGCTGTGATGGTTGTCAGGGCATCCCTGTACGGTTGCTAGGTGTTCTGAGTGGTTTTAGCATGTTGCTATGAGGTTGCTAGGGTGTTCTGAATGGTTCCTTGGGCATTGTATATTGTGGGCCTGTAAAAAAACTCACTGCCATGATCTTTCTGTCATCTCCTAACCGC